CCCAACATCCTTTGTCTTATCACAAGCTCACTGCAAGATTCACTAAATACGTTATTTCCCTCGGTTTTCTACACGTTTGTCGTCAACACTCACCGAAAAGCGAGGTAACAATGGACTACGTCAGAAGATGGTGGGGCGTCGGAGACCCCACGCATGCGCACAAGAGGCTATGGGCATTGCCATGCACAGTTTTTGAGGTGGAGCTCCCAGATTTGAACTCTACTCTAAAACATTGCAGTGTCATCGAAGTGACCGAATATCATACATATATATATACATAAATTATATTAATAAAAAAAAATTTTTTGCAGATTTTTTTAGAAAAGTCCCTATTCTTTTCGGCGAAAAATTAAATTCTCTCTTTTTCTTACAGATAGAGTGGTGGGAATTTTCACTATTGGGAAATTGCAAAATATTTCAAAAATTGTTTTCAAAAAATGTTTGAAGTATCAATTTTGGAGAAACGTTGGTTTTGGCGGACAATAGAATAAAAATTTTTTCTTACCGCAAATAACATGGTTTTAAACTGGAAATTTTATATGAAAAATTTTATAAAATGTTCTTGTTAACAATGGAAGCTATAATGATAATTTTTTACTCAAAGTCGATCATAGGTTCGGTAATTTCAAGAACGTCAATCAACAGTTTCCATGTTTTCAATGTCAACGATGGGATATTAGCAATTCTCTTAGCATTTCCAGATGTCTGTTGTTCTTCAAAAACATTCTTAGCCACTGGTTGAATGAAGAGATCACCATCTCCCCCTGAAATAAAAAAAACTATAAAAGTATATCATATTTTTCCTACACTTTATCTAATATTCTAAAGGCTATTGAGACTTTCGTTGGAAAGACATAGATCCTCATCATCTTATTAATATTCTTACCTACTGATAAAGCCATCCTGCCATCATTAACGAGGAACGAAACGTGCAACATGTTTTCCACAGTCTTTCCAAAGTCATGTGGATTGACGATAAGCTTGAAGAAGTTGAGAGGCTCATTGTTACGTTTATAGTACTTCCTAATTAGGTGAGCAATTTTATCAACAGATTTATCGACTGGATTGTCATCATTGGCAATGGCCACGATCTTCTCAGGTTTTTTCGCTGGGAGGAGGGCATCCCTTCTACGATTTACGATTTTTGACCTTTTCTGATGCACCCCAGCCTCCATGAGCTCCATGCAGTGAAGAAGAGTTGAGGCTGAACCACATGGCATAATCATTGGAGCGATCTGTCGTCCCAGCAACTCCCAATTCGGCGCTTCTAGTGTTTCGTCAGACAAATTACGAGCGTACCTTAGCTAAAACCATAACAATAAGTATTATCTAGAATCATATAGACGTAAATAATTTTTCAATCCATAAGATATTCATCCCTTGTTTTTTTTTTTGCTTTATATATGATGAGCCATTGCTTTTTACCAAATTTTCAGTGAACTCTACTGCATTATAACTATTTGTCTCCTCATCTAGAGATCGTGCAGCACCTCTAATGACCTGGGCGGAAACTTTCATAACTTCCGAATCCAAAACAATCTGATCTTGATTGATAACTGAAAAGTAACAAAAAAAAAAGCGCCTGTTTTATTGGAAACATCTTTTACGGGATGTTTTGTAAAATCTCTTTCCTCATGTATATCGCTTGACCACTTCTCTAAAAATATTTCACATTCTAATTACTTTTGTCATCGATATCATTATGAATAACATCCACCTCCCCGACAGCCTCTTCCAAAATATTGAGGGATCCAACCGTAGCATTTTCTTCTGAAATTAACGTAAATAAATAACAAAAACAAATTCGATTGCCACGTTTTACAATTGAAGAAAGAAATGTAAACGTTAATTTTTAACTTACGAAGCGTACTAGTACGATCCAACATCTCCCTAAGCTTTTTATGACGTGCCTGAGGAGATTCATAGATTGATGTTCTGGCATTCATGCTGTTTGGGTTGATGAAATTGGATCCTGGTGAATTCATCATTTTAATACTCATTCAGCTAAAATTTAGATTCCGCAAACAGACAAATAAACAATCCCACCAGCTCTAAAATTCAATATA